CTCGTTAAGGAGCTCGTTAACTCAAATTACGCTATCAACTCAGTGCAAAAAATCGGTCGAGAGACAGCTGGTATCTCAAAAAACTCGTTAGTCGGGACACTTGTAAGTTAAGGCCCCACTGTATTTCTCCCTTCCCATTCTAGAGGGCTAACTTAGATTAGTGGTTCTTAACCATTTCATGTGGGATAACCCACTCCTGTGTAACATTAAAAAAACTTGAATACTATAATAACTGTATTTTTTAATCATCAGATTAAGTCAACTGCATAAAAAGCTACTATAAAGTCAAAATGCTTTTATTTTTTAAAAAAATACATTTTATTGATTTTTTACAGAGAGGAAGGGAGAGGGATAGAGTTAGAAACATCAATGATAAGAGGGAATCATTGATAGGCTGCCTCCTGCATGCCCCCTACTGGGGTTTGAGCCCACAACCCGGGCATGTGCCCTTGACTGGAATCGAACCTGGGACCCTTCAGGCTGACGCTCTATCCACTGAGCCAAACCGGTTAGGCCTCAAAATGCTTTTAAATACATGCATTTTTTTTTTTTTAAATCACAGGTTTGAAAAAAGAAATGTCCAAAACATTTGTGCAGTCAGGATACCAGGCTTGGTGTATATGTGGGTGTGGTGGTCTCTTGTGATAATTCAGGTCCAGAGACTAAGAAGACCTATGGACAAGATGATCTTCAAACAACTTTCTGACTTTGAGAATCTGTAATTGTTCAAGTTTTTTTTTTTTTTTAATTACTGAATCAGTGGCACATCATGGTAGGTTTTATAATGGCCCATTATATAATATGAGTTAATACCTTCCGTACAGCAGTCCCTCCTGATCAATGGTTTCCCTCTCCAAGTTTTCAATAACTGCATGGGAAAATTTTCCCAGGCATCAACATCGTAGTTCCTGACATCCAATCATGACTTGATGAGTCAGGATCATCCAAAGCAAATAATCCTTCCGATGTATGGTCAGGTCAATAAGTAGCCTAATGTTACGTCATAAAGACTTGGTCATTTACCTCATTTCATTTCACTATGCAGGCATTTTATCATTTCACATGGTAACAAGAAGGGTGAGATTAGTACAATGAGATATTTGAGAGAGATACATTTACATAAGTTTCATTATAGTACGTTGTAATTGTTCTATTTTATTATTAGTTACTAGTATCTCTTAGTTTGCCTAATTTATACATGAAGCTTTATTATAGGTATCTAAAAGAAAAAACATAGTATGGATGATTCCCAACTTAACAATGGTTTGACTTATGATTTTTTAACTTTACAAAGGCATGAAAATATGCATTCAGTAGAAACTGTACTTCAAATTTAAATTTTGATCTTTTCCTGGGCTAGCGATATATGGTAAGATACTCTCTTGATACTGGGCAGTAGCAGTGAGCCACAGTTCCCAGTCAGCCACACATCACAAGAGTAAACTGATATTTTACAGCATAGCATTAAATTCACTTTTTAACTTATATTATTTTCAACTTATGAGTATATGTTGATGTAAATCCATCATTAAATTAAACAACTGTAAATATAGGATTGAGCACTATCTTCAGGCATCCACTGGGGGTCTTGGAACATATCCTTTGTGGATGAGGCCAGACTGTACCTCAATCTCAGATGCTGTCAACTGTGGTTAGGTGCCTTTCTTTAGTGAAATCCTAAAGTCTCCATTAATTAAACAAAATATAAATGTCTGCTCTTCCATTACAAGTATTTGCTATTACCCTCCCCCCCAAAATAACGGGAATTAGTCTACACTGCACATGAAATCTGAAACCCAATAGAAAAAAGCCCAGTAATTTTATTGGTTCATTTTACATAAAGGCAAACTAAGTCCAAAGACAAAAAACACGGGTTTTCCATTATCATTCACTGATAGCGACCCCTGAACTGATAATATTTGCCCATTCCTTCATTCTCTTAAAAAATTTTTACTATTGATCAGGTGGAGAAAGAACAGCTATAAGGCATCAGGATTCTGCCAGTTTTTCAATTAGTTGAAACCAATGCTTAACTACAAAACCTACTGAGGTTGCCAATTTAAAAATGCCATTCAAACACAGAGCAATTTCTCCAACAACAAATAATAAATTACAATTAGGGCCAGTTATATTTAGGTAGTCTAATAATAACTCTAGACTATAAGACTAGTATTTGTCATAAATAGTTAAAATACAAATTTGTATTAAAAATGAAACAGACATCTCTCTTACATTGATGTTTCTCCCCCTCCTCCCTCACCACCTCTAAAAAATATCAATTAACATATCCTGGGATGAAGATGAACAAAATTTAAATAGACATTCTTATAGTTGCTAGTATCGTCTAGTAATTCAAAGCAAGAATATAAGTACAAGCCCACAAATGCCACAAGGTGTACAACAGTATGTGACAGTTTTATTTTGGATAAAAAATATTAAATTATTTCAAAGCAGTTCAAGTTACACAAAGAAGTTAATCTAAAGGTCTCATTTTTTAATGGCAGTCAGGTGAATAAAAAAATTATTCTGATAAAACTACAAAACACCGTAATTCAAAGCAAGAATATAAGTACAAGCCCACAAATGCCACAAGGTGTACAACAGTATGTGACAGTTTTATTTTGGATAAAAAATATTAAATTATTTCAAAGCAGTTCAAGTTACACAAAGAAGTTAATCTAAAGGTCTCATTTTTTAATGGCAGTCAGGTGAATAAAAAAATTGTTCTGATAAAACTACAAAACACCATAAAATTTAAAAATCATCACAGTGTTGACCCAGACAATGCTGAAAATGAAAGAGCTTACTAGATTCTATCAAATACCAAATGACTGAGGTGGGGTACTATTTGAAAATGCAACGGAAAAAAAAAGAAAAGAAAATGCAATGAAATGTCAAAATCTAGTTTCATGTACAGAAACTATATTTTTGGTGACTATTATATAACTGAGAACTTTTATGTATTTGTCATTCATCCACTATTCTTCTGTGATTAAAAATTTAATTTAAAGATGAACTAGGAAAGGCCAGATAATTTCAGATATATGAAAATGAGACATGAGACAAGTGATGACTAATTCAAAGAATCCCCAGATTACCTCTTATTAGCAGCACTCAGAATCACCATTTAGGGCTTGAAAAAATGTAAGAGATCTAACCTTTAATCCTCTTATTATGCAGGATGACACGAAGACCAGAGAGAGAAAATGATCTTCCCGCCCTAGCCAGCTTGGGCTCAGTGAATAGAGCTTCAGCCTGCGGACCGAAGGGTCCCGGGTTCAATTCTGTCAAGGGCACCTACCTCGGTTGCAGACTCCTCCCGGCCTGGGCCCTGGTTGGGGCTCGTGCTGGAGGCAACCAATTGATGTGTTTCTCTCACACATGGATGTTTCGCTCTCTCTTCTACTCTCTAAAAATCAATGAAAAATATGGCCTGGGCCCTGGTTGGGGCTCGTGCTGGAGGCAACCAATTGATGTGTTTCTCTCACACATGGATGTTTCGCTCTCTCTTCTACTCTCTAAAAAATCAATGAAAAATATCCTTGAGTGAGGATTAAAAGAAAAGGAAAAAAAAGACCTTCCCAAGGTAACTATGATGGAGAGCCCAATATAAAGTGCACATCTCCTAGTGCTCACAGTCCATGTGTCCTTCCACCATACTGTTGTGCATCTTTTCTGTTTTCCTCTCCTATTGGAAAAAACCTCTGGCTCTCTCCTGGCCTAGCATGACAGAAGTATAGTAAGCACTAAACTAAGGTAGTTCATTACCACACCAAACTTCCTGCAAAGCTAAATTGGCTTAGTGAAACAGGTCTTGAACATGAACAGCATATGGAAATGATTTGTAAATGTATATAAACTGGAGTTATTTGACCAAAGGTTTCTCCGACCTCTGATTTATTCTGGAGCTACCATCGTATAATCCCAGTCTGGGATAAAACTCCACCCTACCCCATCCTAGTGTTAAATGCAGCCTGGCCAGCTCCTCGCACAGCTGCTAGATACCAAAAGGATTTAATAGTTCAACAAAACCATACAAAGCATCTCAGTGGACACGCCAATGCTCCGCCTAACATCAGAGAATCTGTTTCAGGCATGTCAGGCTTGGTCATGTGAATGTCAAGGTGAAATTAAAAAAAAGGAATTTAAGATGCTTCTATCCAAAAGGTTTAAGAACTCACTCTCACAGATGGAAAAAAGCCAATGAACACCATTTACTGTCAACCTACACTCACCGTATTTACCCAGCCCCATCTTAAAACACTTCAAAAAAAGGGGGGGGGGGAGTGGCTCGTTCTTAAAAGGTCATTACCGATTAAGTGCCAGGCCTTGGGAATCACCGAAGCAATTCGTGTTACAATGTACCCATCGTTAATGGAATTTGGTTTCCTTCGCTACTTAATTCAACAATGTCACATTTGCAACGCTAGCGGTAAGTGCTGTGTCACCGAGCAAAACACTGTTCTGAAACCAAAAGAAAACTGTCAAACAACGTCGCTAGCCCGTGCCCTCGAGCTACTCCGCTCCCCGAAGGCAGCCAGAAATGGCTCTCCCCGAGCCCACGTGCTGCCGTCCGCAGGGAAGGCCCCCGCCCGGCACAGCCGGTCCAGGAAAGCTG